TGTTGCCCGGGCGCAGTGGCGCACGCTTGTAATCCCAGCACTTTGGGAGGCTGAGCTGGGTGGATCACCTGAGGTCAGGAGTTCGAGACCAGCCTGGCCAACATTGTGAAACCCCGTCTCTACTAAAAATGCAAAAGCTAGCTGGGCATGGTGGTGCCTGCCTGTAATCCCAGCTACTCAGGAGGCTGAGGCAGGAGAATTGCTTGAATCCAGGAGACGGAGGTTGCAGTGAGCCGAGATGGCACCACTGCACTTTAGCCTGGGCGACAGAGCAAGAATCTGTCTCAAAAAAAAAAAAAAAAAGAAACAAACCAAAAAACCAAACAAACTCATATATATATATATAATATAATATATACATAATATATTATATATACATAATATATTATATATACATTATAATATATATGTTTAACTTTTGGAGGAACTGCAAGCTGTTTTCCCAAGTGGCTATACATTTTACATTCTCAGCAGCAGCAGCACACGAGGGTTCCAATTTCTTCACACATCCTCAACAATACTTTTAATCTGTCTTTTCTATTATACCCCTCGTAGAGTGTGTGAAGTGGTATCTCATTGTAGCTTGATTGGCAATGTCTTGATTATAGTAGCTTTGAAGTGAGTTTTGAAATTGGGAAGCATGAGTCCTACAACTTTATCTTTTTCAAAACTATTTTGGAGATTCTGAGTCACTTTAATTTCCACATGAATATTAGGGCCAATTTGTCAGTTTGTACAAACAAGCCAAATGGAATTTTAATGCAGATTGTGTTGAATTTGACATCTTAACATTACTATGCCTTCCAATCATGAACATGGGATGTCCTCCCATTTATTAAGGTCTTCTTTAAGTTTCCCCCCAACTTTTAAATTATGAAAACATTTAAAATCCAGAAAATGAAAGGACTAGTACAACAGCACTAATATATGCAACCCCAGTTTCAACTTACTGTTTTTTGAACGTAAGATACCAACATCATGACACCCCACCTAAGGACTTTTTAGCAAAACATTCTAATTTTTTACTTCTCTACTGGGATTATTGTTTGTCTTCCTCCACAATAACGTGAACACTAAAGGTAGAAATTTTTGCCTATTTTGTTCACTACTGATTCCTCTGCACCAAAAACACTGCCTGGTGGTGGGTACTTTTTTAGTTTTAGGAAGGAGAAGACAAGATACAGGTCCTGACTCTGGTTCTGCCTCTCATTCATATGCTGCTCTGAAGATCCCTTCCCCTTGAAGAACTTGTTTTCTCATCTACAAAATGGGGATAATACTAGTACTCATCAGGGTGGTTGTGAGGATTAAACAGGGTACGAGATGTAAAATTGCATGCTGTCAGATCGTTTTGTGTTCCCATCTAGCTCCATGAGGGAGAGGATTTGCTCTGGTCCGTCCCTCTGGGCTCTGGGCTTCTAATGGGCAGACAGCTTCCTCCATGAGGTTTGGAACTGCAGAGCTTGGCACAGTCCCTCAAGACAAGCTTTTTGACTTGAACTGCTGATGGTCTTCCATGCACAATTCAACAGAAACCCAGCAGCATACACTTCCTTGTATGCACTTGCCCCTCTTTTTACATTTATTACACATTCATTGCTACCTAATAATCCCTTATACTTATGTTTTACTTTATCCAATCATTCAACAGTTTTCAACAGAACTACCAAGAGGAGAGATTTTTCAACTTCATTAGACCCTGAGATTCTATTTTTAACATTTCTTCCACGGATTGTTGAATGTTTCCAACAATTGACCTACCTTCCCTTGGCCTTATCTGCATTCCAGATTTGGTTGTATGTCCATCTCTATCTTGCCAGACTTGCCTCACAGACCCAGCTTGAACACAAGATGGGTGCTTGCTGAAGAGCAGGACTCACTCTGTTGAACCTGCATGTTTTCTCAGGTCAGATTGCTTGGTGGTGTTCCTTTAATTTCTTTCAACAGCACATTATAGTTTGCTGTGTTTAAGTGTTGCTTTTCTTTGGTTAAACTTATTCTAAGTATTTTATTCTTTTTGATGCTATTGTAAATGGAAATGTTGTTTTAATTTTTTGATCCTTTATTGCAAATGTGTACTATGGATTTTTGTGCATTAATCTTGTATCCTGCAACCTTGCTGAACTTGCTTATTAGCTCTAATGGTTTTTAAGCGAGTTCCTATAATGTCATCTGTGACTAAAGATAGTTTTACTTCTTTCTTTCTGATCTGGATGCTTTTTCTTTTTCTTTTTTTTTTTTTTTTTTTTGCCTAATTGCCCTAATAAGTAGAGGTGGTGTGAATGAACATTCTTGTCCTGTTCCTGATCTTAGAGGGGAAATATTCGATCTTTTACAATGAATGAGGTATGGTGTTAGTTATAGGTTTTTCATAGATGCTCTTTATCAGGTTGAGGAAGTTCCTTTCTAGTCTTCATCTGCTGAGTAATTTTATCGTAAAAGGATGTTAGATTTTGTCAAATGCCTTCTCTGCATTAGGATGATCATGTGACTTTCTATTAGCACGGTATGCTACATTGATTGATTTTTGTATATTGAACCACATTTATACTCCTGGGATAAATCCTACCTGGTCAAGGTGTATAATCCTTTTAATATGCTGCTGAATTTGATTTGCTAATATTTTGCTGAGGATTTTTACATCTATATTTATAAGGATATTGCTTTGTAACTTTATTTTCTTATAATGTCTTTTTCTGTCTTTGGTATCAGAGTAATTCTGGCTTCATAGAACGAGTTGAAAAATATTTCTTCCTGTTCTATTTTTTGGAAGAGTTTGTGAAGGCTTTGTATTAGTTCTTCAAGCTTTTGGTTGAATTCGCCAGTGAAGCCATCTGGTCCTGGGCTTTTCTTTGTGGAATTTTTAAAAATTAATATTTTAATCTTTTTATTTGTTACAGTTCTATTCAAATTGTATCTTTCTTCCTAAGTCAGTTTCGGTAGATTTTATGTTTCTAAAATTTTCTCATTTCATCAAGGTTATCTCATTTGTTCACATACAATTACTCATAGTATTTCTTTATAAACCTTTGTACTTCTCTAATACCAGTAGTGATGTGTACATTTTCTTTCTTTCTGGTGTCTGGTTTTTGTTTTTTTTTTTTCATTTTTTGCGATTAGGTTTTCCTGTGTTACCCAGGCTGGAGTACAGTGGTGCAGTCATAGCTCAATGTAACTTTGAACTCCTGGCTAAAGTGATCCTCCCACCTCAGTCACCGAATTAGCTAGGACTACAGGCATGCACCAACACACTCAGCTAATTTTTCTTTCTTTCTTATTTATTTATTTATTTTTGAGACGGAGTCTCGCTCTTGTCACCCAGGGTGGAGTGCAGTGGTGTGATCTCGGCTCACTGCAACCTCTGATTCTCGAGTTCAAGCGATTCTCCTGCCTCAGCCTCCCGAGTAGCAGGGATTACAGGTGCCCGCCACCATGCCCAGTTCATTTTTTATTTTTAGTAGAGACAGGGGTTTCACCATGTTGGCCAGGCTGGTCTCAAACTCCTGACATCAGGTGATTCGCCCGCCTCACCCTCCCAAAATGCCGGAATTACAGGCATGAACCACTGGGCCTTGCCTCCCAGCTAATTAAAAAAAATAACTCTTTTTGTAGAAACAAGTCTCACTATATTGCTCAGACTGGTCTCAATCTCCTGGCCTCAAGTGATCCTGCTCCCAAAGTGATCAGCCTTCCAAAGTGCTGGGATTACAGGTGTGAGCCATTGTACCCATCTTCCATTTTCTTGGTGAATAATTTGAGTCTTATTTTTTCACTTGGCTGTTCTAACTAAAGGCTTGCCAATTTTTGTTGATCTTTTCAGAGATCCAATTTTTGGTTTCATTGATTTTCTCTATTGTTTTTCTATTTTCTATTTCATTTATCTCCATTCTAATCTTTATTATTTCCTGTCTTCTACTGGTGTTGGGTTTAGGTTGCTCTTATTTTTCTAGTTCCTTAAAGCATAAAATTAAGTTATTGATTCAAGATCGTTCTTAACTCGTGTTTACAGCTATAAATTTTCCTCTTAGCACTGCTTGTGCTGCATCCTATAAATTTGGGCATGTTGTGTTTTCATTTTTATACATTCAAGATACTTTTTAATTTCCCTTGTGATTTCATTTTTGACCCACTGGTTGTTTAAGAGTGTGCTGTTTAATTTCTATGTGCTTGTGAATTTTCCAGTTTTCCTTCTGTTCTTGATTTTTAACTTTATTCCACTGTGTCCAGAGACCATACTTTGCATGATTTCAATCTTCTTAAATTTGAGACTTAGGACCAATTATATGCTCTATACTGGAGAATATTCCACGTGCTCTTCAGAAGAATGCTTATTCTGCTCCTGGCAGGTGGAATGTTCTGTTCATGTCTAGTGTGTGCAATTGGTTTATAGTGCTTTTCAAGTCCTCTATTTCCTTGATGGTCTTCTGTAGTTTTTCTATCCATTACTGAAAGTGGGGGCCAGGCACAGTGGCTCACACCCCTAATCCCAACACTTTGGGAGGCTGAGGCGGGCAATTTGCCTGAGCTCAGGAGTTCGAGAAAAATACAAAAAAAAAAATTAGTTGGGTGTGGTGGTGTGTGCCTGTAATCCCAGCTACTCGTGAGGCAAGAGGATCACTTGAATCTGGGAGGCGGAGATTGCAGTGAGCCCAGATTGTGCCACTGCACTCCAGCCTGAGTGACAGAGTGAGACTTCATCTCAAAAAAAAAAAAAAAAAAGAAAGTGGAGTATTGAAGTCACCAACTATTATTACTGACAATGTAGCCACATTTAACCCTTTACTTTTAAAATTCTTTTTGGAAACTGGAAGGATCTGTAACCACCACCCACTCCCACATCAGACCCTGTGCATACGCCAGCTATCTGTTGCTCAGCAGCTGTGATGGTTGTTCCAGCTCTTTATTAGGCAAAGAAGAGGTATCTTTTTTAGCATTTCCTTTAAGGAAGGTGGCTCAGATTGTTGAGCCAGCCAGGCCCTGCAGGATGGCTACAATTAGGATCACAAGTACTTCTCCCGAAATTCACAGATTCTCTGCGTGACCATTGGATCCAATGTTGAAAAGTCCCAGTTGGCCAACTGCATTAGTCGATCGTGGGCCTCCTTAAAGAGGCCAGAGCCAATATTCAGCTCCACCCGCATGCGCCACTCGGCTAGCTTGGAGCTGTTGAGGAAGACATTATAGTTGGCAGCCATGGGCTGTGGATAGACAAAGAGGAAGATGTGGTGAGCCTGGGGACCAGCCCCACCTGGGTCCTCTCCCACAGCCTCAGGCCCCCGCCTCCAACATCTGCCTCTGCAAAGAAATAGGCTGCTGACCCCCAAGGCCTGAGCAAGGGGGTCGCAGACTATGTAATAGATGTACATGGGGATGGAGGATCCAGAATCCCCCAGGGTCTCTGGTCACTGCTCTTCTTGCTCTAAGCCTTCTGGACCATGCTGAGAGGGCTCCCGGCCCAGGCAGCTCCCACTTCTCCAGCCTGCGACCTCACATGAATTCTGCCTTCTTCCAAGGAAACCCCTTATCCCAGGGGTGTATATGTGGATGAGGGAGAGAACTCAGGTTTTTTTCCCCATGTTTAACCTCCCACCGTGATCAGGCTCAGGGGCTAGAATGGGAGACCTGGCAAGCAGTCTACCCTGGAGTTTGGCTGGCTCACTAAGACAGTCTACCCTGCAGTTTGGCTGGTTCACTAAGACAGTCTACCCTGCAGTTTGGCTGGTTCACTAAGACAGTCTACCCTGCAGTTTGGCTGGTTCACTAAGACAGTCTACCCTGGACTTTGGCTTTGCACCCAAGGTCTTTGGGAAGCCCAAGAAGGGGTGGGTGGTGGGTGACATGTAAGGGGTGGGGGCGAAGCATATGTCTGAGCCCTCGGGGCAGGCCAGAATGATTTTTCCTGGTGCTGGTCTGCACTGCAAACAGACCAAAGAGACTAATTTTCACATGAACCAGAGATCTCTGAGATGAGAAAAGGAACACTGCATTTCCTGGCCAAGCCACCAGGATCCCAGGTGCCTCCTCCTGGGCATAGCTCTGGCTGATATGAAAATTAGTCTCTTTGGTCAGTGTG